TGTTTAAAAATTAACAATAAACATAGTAGCGAACTTTTGAAATTTATCTGCTATATCCCATATAAATGCCGTCAAAATGAGTATATCGCTAATTTATTTCAATACTATCATAACTCAATGAAGAACTAAAACCCAAAAAAGGAGGGGAAGCGGTCATTTTACCTTCTTAATGATTAGTGGAAGAGGGTGGTCCTCGATCTTTTCAAAAACTCATTTAGAAATGCTTGTTGGATAAAATTTCAACTATTAAAGCAGTGTCTATTACAAGTACTGGCATCGATTCTTCTTAAGTGTATTTTATATGACACTTTGGTAAAAAGTTCCATCACTACAATCTCAAGAGATAATTCTGTGTAAAATCAATTAAATTAAAGAGTGTTAAAATTTTTTAACTACTGGTTATTCCAAGTAGAGAGTTAAATCTCGTCACACTAAGACTATATTCAAACAGGCCCCTAATTGGCAATTAAGAACCTTTTCACCAATTAATAATTAATTGGCAATTAATTTGTGTCAGATTCTCTATGCAACCCTGCTAGGTATGTTTAGTTTTGACTTGCAGGTATGTTTATTGAACAAAGAGCAATCAGCTGTTTGTGTCTAGTCCCCTTTTATCATCAGGGAATGATAAGTTATTCGGCTACGTTCCAAATGTACCTAAAATTGTGTGTTTGTACCGAATGTACTTCCAAACTAAATAAAGATACGACTGTTCCAACTTTTTCATCACCGTAGGCTGATTTCGCTGATTTCGTATCGCTAATTGCGCAACTGACGTGTGTGTGAACACCAAACTCAATATCGTAATTCAAATCTTAATTGCCTCAGCTAATTGGCTTGTTTGGACATAGTCTAAGCGAGCTTTTTACCTACAATTAAAAGCAACAATAAAATGTTGAAGGTAAATTATGATATAGGTAAGATGACGCTTGTTTATTTAATGCAGGTAGAATATTAGATATTTTATAACCAAAAACAACGAAAGCTAATAGTCTAGTTAATCTAGACTTAACTTAACTTACGCAAGAAATCGTCAATGATTACTCAATACGTCAACTTGCCCAGAAGCGAAAATATTTTGTTTTTGTACGTTCCTTTTCAGCTGTTGGTCACTTTGCCGCCTATAAGTCACATAAAAAAATTCCTTGACAAAAACATATTGTGTTAGCCAATATATTAGGTTACGTAACGTAAATTAAGTTTAGACTAGCTGAGCCTTAAATCTCGAAAACTTTCTGTCTTTGTTACATGCGTAGCAGAATGTGGCGACCTTGGATGAAATTATTTATGCTAAACACTTAATTGATTCGACCATATTCAAAAAATAGGTAAAAACAATATTAATAAATTTCCTTAAGACTTTTTTTTACAAAATTTGTATTTCAACTCTATGTATACTCGTATGAGAGATTTTAGCAATTATAAGGACTAGCAGCATTGAATGATCGCTATTAATATACTCGTATACAGACGACTGTAAGTAAATAAATACGTCCCTGTTTTATCAGAACCGTGAGTTATAGTCATCGTCTGACGCTTCAGCCCACATTCGTTTCCCACACTTGCATACATATGCAATTAAACTACAAGTTAAAACGTTCCTTCGCTGCCATCAAATACTAGATTTTTGTTGCTCCGCAGCTTTATTAGCCTAAATTTGGATGCCGCAGACTGTTTGGTACACCGTTGTACATCATTGGCGTGACTTGCTCATTAAATTTTATATGTTTAACTATAAAAGTTTATTTATAAATATGCAAATGAAAAAGCATAAGCTTACACACAATTTTCCTAGTAAGCCAATTTCAAATTGGAAGCTTTCATTTTATGCATTTTAACTATTTTTAGGAGATCGAAATATAAGAGTACATATGGGGCGTTCCATACCAAAATGGACGGCGTTCATACTACTTGTGTTAGATTTGTTTAAAATTTTTAGGGTATATGGACAAACATGTGAGGAAAATTTTTGGTGAGGAAAAAATTTGAAAAAAAAAAATCACACATACACACATCGAAATTCTCGATGGAAAGAAATATTTTTAAATATATTTTTTATTGAGAAATTTTTCACGTAAAATTTTTTTGATAAAAAAATTAATTTTTGAAAATATGCAATCTAAAAAAAAAATTGAAAAAATCACAATGGTAGCTCTGAGTATTGCGCAATATTTAAGTATATTATTACGGGGTGCACTCTACAATAATTTGAGTTATGATTTTTTCTTTTACACCGAAGTTGAGTAAAAGGAGTATATTACAGATTTACAAATTTTTTATGTTTTTTTTTAGTATCCTGTTTTGTAGCCCATTAAATTTTAGTATAATAAAGTTTAAAGCTACTGAAAAATTGCGTGGATTTTTAATATTTTTTATGCGGACGGCTTTTTGCACTTTTTTCTTATGGAAAAAATGCGCAAAACCGTTTAAAAAATAAAAAAATAAAAAAATAACGCCAGTTTTGCAATCGCTTTAAAGTCTGCACGTTATTATACTAAAATTTTACAAAACTGCTTTCTCAAAAAAAATCTTAAAAAATTAAAAAAAAATTGTAAATTTGTAATGTTCTCATTTTACTCAACTTCGGTGTAAATAAAATATTATAACTCAAATTTTTCTAGAGTACACCCCTTTATACTATACTTAAATATTGTGCAATACTCAGAGCTACCATTGCGATTTTTTCAAATTTTTTTTGAGAAGGCATATTTTCAAAAATTTATTTTTTTTATAAAAAAAATTTTATTTTATTTTATTTAAAAAAATAAAAAAATATTTCTTTTCATAGAGAATTTCGATGTGTGTTTGTGTGATTTATTTCAATTTTTTTCCTCGCCCCGTTCTCGAGATATTTCTAAAATTATTAAAAACTAAAAAATTTATAAAAAATTTATTAATCAAGCTCAAATTTCATATATTCTATTATTTATATCCCCCCAAAAAATTTTTAACAAATCAAACTCATAAAGTGTGAGCCCCGTCCATTTTGGTATGGAACGCCCCATATATGTACATATGTATGTATGTATGAATACAAAACATCTTTGTCGAGGCCGCTTTGTCTATGGCGCACTGCACTTATGTCAATAACTCAAAAAAAAAAAAATTAAAATAAACAACATTATACAAAAAACACGCCATTTTTGGAGCTTAATTAGTGACACAAACTTTAGTCGTTCTTTGTGTGCTTATTGACAGCAAAACTGTCAAAGCCAACACGTCGTCTTTCGTCGTGCATTAAGGAAAATCTCAGAATACTTAGTTAGTATAGAGAGATAGAAAAACAAAGAATATCATAAGTCACGGCTAAAAAAAAATTAATTAGTTGCGGTAAACAGACCAAATTAAGGAGCTGCTGGTTCACAAAACACGCATATATACATGTGTATGTATGTATGCACGCACTCATAAATGCATTGTTATTGCTTTTGTCTTGCATTTCACGATAGCCAAAAAGTTCTGAGAAATAACACAATTCAACCATAAATACTTATTCCTCTTAGCTTGCCATACAGCAGCTAGTTAATAGCATTGAATGCATCGCAAATAGGTAGGTAAACGTTTGTTTGTATGTACCTCTGTAGGCTGGCCGGCCCACAAAGGCAAGCGTATGGTTGAATGATCATGGCGAGGTCGGTGAATATCAAAAGCGTCCGCCCTGCGGAGCTTTAAATTGTCAATACGTTTGCAGTTACTAGGAAAATTTATGACTGGCAAATAAAAAAATAAAAAATAAGTTACACAGTGATGCATAGAGTTTTCTTAAAAATGTTTTTAATTAGTGAATAACCAAAAATAACATTTCAGGCACAGGTTTGTATTTTATGGTATTAACGAATTGGATTATCTGAGGAACCTGTGAGAGGAAGTTCTGATCTGAAAGTTCGAAATTTTATTTTTTATCATGAATAACGGTCTCCTAAATTGGTGCAAATAAAAGAACGCTTCATTACCTGTACATTAGGGTTATCCAAAAAGGTTAAAATTTTAATCTTACGGGGTATATATAACTGCCTCAAAGCCCATGAAGTTTTTCACGTATGTATATTTCGTCGAGGAAAAAACACCTTTTCTTAGAATTCTTGAAAATCTATATTTTCGACCGAAAAACTATGTTTCTCATCAGGAGACTTCATGAGCTCATGAGCTTTGAAGCAGTTCAAAATATGTATTTTTTTTTAACTCTTTGAGCGACGAAAATTTAAAGAGTTTTTAAGCCCCTTAAGCGACAAAGAAAATGTATTTTTAGTTTTTGTTTTTAGCAATACAAATTTATTGGATATGAACCAAAACGTAAAAATAAAAATAAATAAAATAAAAATAAAATAAATAAATTAAAATAAAAAAATGCAGGTGGTACAAATTATATATATATATATATACAATTCTAAATCTTTGCTACGCATGGAATAGAGGAAAATATTGAATTACTCGTACTTCCACTCGGAGGCAGTCATCCATATTGTGAATTCTCTTTACGAGTGCCAGGAGGAGGAACATCCTTTCAACCGGAGGAACCTACTTTATCAGTATGGTGCTTGTTGAACCATTTGCTATCCCAGAAAAAGTTGTTATATCCTGACTGTTAATGTTTAGCACCTGAAGCAAGGAGTACTAGGAGTACTAGTAAGGCTTGGAGCTTAACTCCGCTAAAACATAACATCT